ACTCTGAACCACCCATAATAGTGAGAAGTCCAAAAGGCACATATTCCTTCTGGGTAAGGATGGCTGCAAAATTAGCCAAAATGAGCTCAATCTGTGCCACTGAGGAGGCAAGACTGGCTTTTCCCATTTCAACCAATCCCTACTCTTTTATTTCTTATGTTCTTGCTAATTTCACAAAAAATCAAACACAGGAAAAAAATAAAAATGAAAATCACTGCAAGAGATACAGCTTTACTAGATCTTAGCTGAGTGAAAGGGACCACAGCTTCACAGCAATGTCAGGGTCACAGGGGTTAAGAAATTATTTTCCCCCTTTAATATTGTTGGGTTTGGAGAAATGGAGTCTAAAGGGAACATTTCATGAATGGTGACCAACTCTTTAGCTTCTGTGACTATAGGAAATCTTTTTTGTGACAATTTTTTTAAACTGAATATCATCAAATCATGGCTTGTAACCAGCATTTTTTACAAAGAAATAGAAAAGAGAATATATCAAGCATGTAAGGATGTCTTGTTTCACGAAACTTTGTCTTCAGTTATGTATTTGTGTGTGTGTGTCTTAGGTTGCTATGTAAAACATGGATTAGCATATGGATTATAGCAAAAAAAAAAAAAGTGAAAACCATTATACTGGGACATAGACCTAGTAATCAGGTATGTCCTACACTTGTAAAGAGGGCTGGCATTTATCTGAATAGAGGGAAACATGGCTGGCTAAAGGAGAAAGGAAAGACTTAAACTATTTACTGGGTCAAAAAATATTCAAATAAGAATTTCTCAGTTAGCTAGGAAGAAATAATTTCCACATAAAATTAGAAATAGGAAGGGGGGAAAGGGAGGAAGGGAAGAAGAAAACTATACAGCAAAAAAAAAAAAAATTGGGAACCTGTTACACTTAATGAATGTGCTGGGACATACACATTTACCTAAATATTAGTTCAGAAGAACGTAGATGGGAAAGGGCAAGAAAGTATTTATTCCCAAGTGAAGAAAATCTTGATACAGCTGAAACGAATCCTGATCAGTGGGGCCTGATGGTAGGGGCTTGAAACAGGCTTTCTAACAGAAATGACAACAGCTAACATCTGTTAAGTGCCAGTTTATAATCTCCAATACATTTAAACCTCACAACAGCTTTATGAGGTAGATATTAACATTTCCCTTGCAAGGGGGAGGGAGATAGGTTAAATAACAGAAACATTTTAAGTACTTACAGGAAAATATCCCTAGTTATAGAAAGACTGTGGAACGATTCCCCAAACTCTTGGTGAGCACAGGTTAAGGCAGAGAATCCCAATATTTAGTAATTCTAATTAGAATACAGACAAGTCCAAAATTGATATGTAATCATATTACTAATGTTTTTCTTCATCAAAACCAAAATAACAAATATTTTGCTTTTTTCTGAGTGGCAAGTAAGTGGATATATCATCCTTGTGTGATTTTATTTCTAAATTTTTTGTACTAGTAAATGCAAAATTTCATATTAAAATAAGAATTATAATATTAATGCTAATGATAAAATCAAATCTGATGAAACTAGGATAAAAATTCAGTTAAAATTAGCAGGTCTTCTCATTTCAATGTCTTTTTACTCCAGCAGCATGTGATAAGGATTCTGACCAAAGGTCTTTTTATGCATTATATATTTTTTGTAAATTATAAAATTTCTGCTAATCCTACTGCCTGTGGATGGGTGACTCTTTCCTAGGCTGATGTATCACTATACTTTTTTCAGAGATATAAAAGAACCAAACCTATATAACTTCATTAATTTTCAAAACAGCAGCATTAATCTCACTTTTTAAAGTTATGCTGTAAGTGCATTGAACACACGTGATGTGGCTTAGAGAGTTTAGCACGGAAGGTCCTCCACAAAAAAATAAAAGAACATAAACGGCACAACAGTTTTTCAGAAGATGCTGTTTAACAGGCTTATTCTGACATGGATCTCCCACTGAAGCCCCAAGACCCTGAGGTTTAGAACAAATCAAGAGTTACCCCTTTGAATTTCTGGGCCAGGACACAATTCTGTGTTGGCATTAATGGGGACCTTTATTACTTTTTAACCATGGGAAGCCACTTTATTGTTGGATTCCTAGAGCTTTTAGTGGCACACTATTAAGAGTGGCCTGGACCCCAGGTTGGGAAGCGAGGGATCAAGGTCCAGCCAGCATTGCACAAAGACCTTTGGAATAGAAACTACGCCAGAGAAGTCATCGTTTCAAGCAAGCAGAAGAGTTCAGCACGAAGTTCGCAGGGACAGCTGGGTTTGGGCCCAGCTCCCCTACTTGGTAGCCATCTGTCTGCCTCGCATTCTCGGTTTCCTTACCAGTGAAACGGAGATGAGGGTTCTCTGTAAAGAGGAACCAAGCTAACCTCCGTAAAAGGCCCTGGTATATGCCATGGTTCAATCCATGCCAGTGTTTCTCCGTTTAAACCAGCAAGGGAGAGTTAAAACCTCCACGGCCTGCAGGCGGCTAAGACCCCACTTGCTGTCCCAGGGCTGGAGGTGACCGAGCCTGTTACCTGATCGCGTTGACCGGCGGGTTTCGTAGGCGGATCAGTGCCAGAGAGTTCTGCAGCCGCGCAAACTCGGCCATGTTTCCTCTGCCTCGTAAGTGCCGCCACCTCCCATCACTGGGTAATATCACATTCCCTGGGCGCCGGGCCAGCCCCGTGAGCGGGGACGCCCGCTGGGCCAATGCGGGCAGGGCACCGCCTCCCACCGCTCGGCCAATCCGGGGCACAGGTGCCCATCTCCACCGCAACCCTCCTCCTTCCCCGAGCCCCAACCCTGCAGACCCTTGCCGTCTCCTCCTCTTTGTTGGTTCCCATCCTGCTCCCATTACAAAGTAGATCAGGGAGGACGATGGGCAGTGGGAGGAAGGTCCAGCAAGTCGAGATCTGCAAACTCCAGACCCAGAGGGGCTGGCTTCCCCGGACAAGTTCTGGGATCATTAAGTTGGTGGAGCATCCCCATCACAGATTTCATCTTCATGATCCTTCTTAACAGGGAGAGATATATCTGGGATCCTGACAATCATGTGATGACACACACCTGGAACACATAAAACACACAGATTATGCATTTCACCTAAATGAGTATGGTGCTAACATCAACCAAATATTTATTGAACTGTCATACAGCAATCGAGTGTAAACCACAACTTTCCTTTATTTTCCTGTTGCCATTCCTAAAGATTGTGATTTCTAATTCTTCAACCGTGAATCAAGTACCTATGCTGTGTTAGGCTGCAGGCAGGCCCAGCCCCTTCCCTCTAAAACTTCTAGCTGGGACAAGGTTTTTCAAGATGCAATTGGCCTCCAATGGTCTCTGCAGTCCATCAGGTGGTCTGAAGGCACTCTGGAAGTTTCAGAGGGAACAAAACAAATGTTGGCAACGATTAAGAATTATTTTCATACATATTCTTTTATCTATTGAAATTAAAACCAGTTTCCTACTTCTAGAAAAGTACCCATGGCCTTGAAGCCCTGGAAACAAGTAGCAGACATAACCTATCCAATCCATCAAGGACAACCTATCCAGGACAGACCCTCACCTTTGACGGACAGCCAATCATGTTCCTCTGGGTGCCAACATTCAACACCAACCAGTTTCTTTCAAGTGGCATCAATCTCTACTGCCTCTCAAACTCACCAATCCCCAAATTCCACCTTTCCCAAAAACTTGATGTAAGATTAACAGTGTGCTCTGCTTGGAGAGACTGTGTATAGCCAACGTAGCTTTCCCTTACTGCAGGAAGCAATACATTCAGTGTTGTCTTCTTGTTTCAGATACTGGTCTCTAGGGGAACTCTGCTGTGGCATCCTAACAAGTTTGAAAGTCTCCACAGAGGCCACGCAGGCAAGGCTTAATGGTTCTGAAATTGCTCCTGGAGCAAGTGGAGAACAGCATGCCTAGAGGCAGTTTCTCATCTTTATATTGGGGTCAGCCACAGGTCATTTCTAATCTATCTCTCCAGTTCCAGAAGAACACGGAACTTTCTACCTTGCACCACCCTCCCCTTAGGCACAGCTGCAAACTTCTGTGTAAATCTGTATGACTGCTTGGCAGTAGTTGGCTCCTCAACAGGGCAGGAACTAGGGCAAGCAAGCAAGGCACCTCATAGGCAAAACTGAAGAGGACACTCACTCCCAGTTTCATGCAGTTGCTGACCCTGCCCTGCTCCTTAACAACAGAGTGATCCCCACAGTTCCTATGTTCTGTCATCCAGCCCCTCCTGTTTGGTGTCTTACTGTGGGAATAGGGATGCAGGGAGCTGATACATGCTGGTTTTTGTTTTGCTGTCTATGTAAATAATAAATTGTCTAAATCTATTTAGACTCCTTACGGGCCAAATCTGTGGAAGTGTGGCAAGCCAATTTAGCAGATGCCACCATGCTGCTGCTTACAGACCCCTTGATCCTTTGACAGTCTCTTGATCATTGTGATGGATTGTTATATTCTTAAGTTGTATTCTCATTTGTCTCAATAAGTGCTACTAAACAGGATGCCATTCCTCTTGACTAATGCACTTCCACATCAGTTGCATGTTACTGCTTTTGCTTGTTAAATATATCATTTGTTGTCATGATGTTGCAATTCACAAATAGACCAGTTGATCAGAAGTATATTCAATATCTTGTATTAACCTATAATGGAAAAGAAGTTGAAAAAATGTGTGTGTGTACATATATATATATGTAACTGAATCACTGTTGTACACCTGAAATTAACCCAATATTGTAAATCAACTATACTTCAATAAAAAGTCCATTAGAGCTTAAAAGAAAAATATAAGAATGCAAATATAAAACTTTTGTGTACTAGAACATGCAAATATGTACTTATACTAAAACCAGAGCTAGCTATCTCACCTTAGATTTCCCGGCATTGGTAGTCTTTTATTTCTGGAACCCAGGGGTTATGTTGTGAAACTCCATTTAACTGTGGCATGAAGCTATCAGAGCTGATTTCTTTGGTAAGCCATCAGGGTTTGTTTGTTTGTTTGGAATAATTGCAAAATATTGCTTTCTAGTTGGAGAGAGAAAATTTCTCACATGTTCTCTTCAGTGTCCCTTCCCCTTTCACTGTGGAATACAAGCAGACAGGAGTCTCCAGGGGGAGGAGAGAGCCACAGCTAAAAGTCTGACTTCCCACATTATTTTGTGAAGGAGAGCTGCCCCACTGACTGGAACCAACATGGACTGTTAAAAAATTTTAACCTACATTGTAAAATGATTATAAATCAATAAAAAATGTTAAAAAAAATTTTAACCTGTCCTAACTAATACAATGAAAAAATGGGCAGAGAGTACAGTGAAGTTGGCTTGGGGAGAAAAGCTGCTCATACAGTGTCTGAAATGAGAGACAGGATAAAAATAATTTCTTCACATACTGATGTTATCAGTAATAATAATTTTTATAATTTCACATGGCTTGCTCAAGTTTTGAGCCTTGGATACACACACACACACACACACATATATATTCTGATAAACTGGCACCATTTAAAAAGAGGCTACAAACACATAATTTGAGATGCCCTAGCTTATTCAGTTTAATATTCTTTCTCATATCTTTAGTCAATATTCTTTTTTCATGCCTCAACAACATTCCTAGCACAAGATTACCCATCTTTCTTTGAATACTCCCAATGATGGGGAACTTAGTACTTGGCAGTTCTGCTTGCTAAAAATTTGCCCTGTTCCTTAGGACATTCCACTCCCTGACTCTACTTTTGTTATAAACTAAGTCTCTCTTTAGAACACTCCTTCCAGTGGGGAGACTATAGCTCAGTGGTAGAGTGCATACCAAGCATGCACAAGTTCCTGGGTTCAATCCTCAGTACCTCTGTTAAAAAATAATAAATAAATAAATAAACCTAATTACCCAACCCCCACTGAAAACAAAAACAAAATTAATAAACACTCTTTCATCAAATATTTAAAGATGCTACCAAGTCAGTCTTAAACCTGCTCCTTTTAGGCTCTTTCTCTAGGATGACCAGTTCTCATATGAGAAGCTATCTCTAGTTAATCACTACGTAAGTTGTTCTGGACACTCATTTGAAGTGTGCAATTCCGTGATTTTTTAGTATATTCACAATATTATCTACCATCACCACTTCCTAATTCCAGAACATTTTAACACCCCCAAAAGCAGTCACTTACCATTCCCCTTTCGCCTCCTCCCCTAGCCAACACAGATCTACTCTAATGGAGACACTAATCTGTCTCTATGAGTTTACATATTCTGGACATTTCACATAAACGGAATCACACAATATGTGGCCTTTTGTGTCTGGTTTCTTTCACCTAGCATAATGTTTTTAAGAGTCACCCATTTGGTAGCATATATCAGGACTTCATTCCTTTTTATGGCTGAATATACAGTTTGTTTATCCATTCATCAGTTGGTGGATATTTGGGTTGCTTCCACTTTTTGGTTATTATAAACAATGCTGCTTTGAACATTTAATGTACATGGTTTTGTGTAAATTATGTTTTTAATTTTCTACACCTAGAAGTAGAATTGCTTGGTCATATGGTAATTCTATCTTTAACTTTTTGAGGAATTGCCAAACTGACACCATTTAGCATACAAAATATACAGCAAAGTTTGAGGTTCCAATTTCTCCAAATCCTTGCCAATACTTGTCCATTTTTTATTATTAGGCTAGTTGTTCTTAAATATGAGTTACATTGTATTTTTCTTTGTCACCAAGTGTGGTCTTCTCCCTTTTTGAGTGAATAAACATTTAGAATCGGCCTGGCTTATGAAAAGTTCTCAGCAAAAAGTCATATTATTAGACGTTGTTAATGTTATGTTCCTTTCAGATGAGTCAAATTGAATAGTGTTTTTCCTCTAGGATTATAGTTCCATCTGTTTTGAATAGCAAACAGGATTCAAACTAATATACCCTGTATTGTTAAGGTCAAAATAAAACAAGTTGGCACAACTCATACTTCCATTAATATAGTCATCACAAGTTCTAGCAACTATTATTTATTTCCAGGTTTTCCCATCAAACTGCCTAGATTTTAAACCTGGAGATTGTGCTGATGTGATTATAGCATTGAGAAGCCCCAAGGGAGGGGCAAGGGCCAGAAGACCAGGCACGTGTTTTTATTTTTGAGTAGACATGAAGATGGTAAAAGATGTTGACTGGTAAGTTTTAAATCAATACCTTATGAAACATTAGAATAATTCATTAAGAAAATGGTTTGTGATCATCAAAGATACATTGTGTTCACTGAGAAGATACGCCAAATTAATTTCATTTCAGTTTTTGAGAGGATTAATACATTGGAAGGTCTGAGAAATGTTGTACTGGGATTCCTAGAGATACCACAGTTAGATGATGGAATCCTTGTGGATATGATTTGGGTTATTTGAGTACAATGTTCTCTGAATAAGTATTAGACCAATTATATTTTTATTCAGCAATTACGGGTGCTAGACACTGTTAATGCAATGAGCTAAAATACATGCTATGTGCCCTCATGTTGCCTGCTTCAAACTATTATGGGATAGTAGATCTTAACTGAGGGAGTAGAGGGAGAAGAAAGTATTTTGAAAATGCACACATTTGGCATTCCCTCTGGGAGGTTCTGATTCTGGGTGGACTCAGCAATTTTAAAAAGCTTCCCAAAGAATTTTAATGCACACCTTTGGTTAAGAAACGCAAGAGGGAAGCTTGGGTAGTTTACTGCAGGGTTTTTGATTTGATTCTGCCTTGAACTATATTATTTTTCAAGCTGAGCAACTAATAATGTCAGAAAAATTTCATATACACACAGTATATAACTGCTTACATTACAATAGAATTAAATGAGAGAAACTGTGGAGGACCTTTTCTGCTGCTCTGTACTTTATTCACAGATCGGTACAGCTGAATTCTAGATGAGTTTGTCACTGAGATCTAAAATATAAAGCTGGCTTTGTAAGAGTCATTGGCGCTGTTCACAAATATTCTATTTTTCTCCCCTCCTTACTGATGGTAGGATTGCACTTCCCTGCCCACTGAAGAAAGTGAGGTCATCTGACATTGCTGTGGCCAACAAAATGAGAGAAGTGGTGGAAACATGTTAACACCTGCTTTACCAGATTCTTTTTTCCTCTGGCTTGGTTACTGGCAATGTTCAAGATAGTGGTTGCTCAATCAGCCTGGGTTCCTGAGTGGCTATCATGAACAGAGCCTCACTGTAGACCCAGAGTAATATTTTAGTATTAGAAATTAATCTAAGTTACTTTCAGACATTTAGGTTTGGGGTTGTTTATTTACTGTGGTATTACACTATCTATTCTAACTAACACAGAATTCTAGGGTGAGTCTGTCACAGCATGACATTTAATGGTGAGCAATGTAAAGCCCTATACTACAGTTAAAGATAAAAATTATAGAGACTAGAGTGCCCAGTCCAGAAACTAATGTATATTTTTCTCTTTTCTAGCCTGAGAATCATCCTGGAATTACTGAATGTGTGTCCATCCTGTCTGAGAGTATGCACAGTGTACAGATGTGAAGATAAACTGCTAGTCATTGTGCCACCTCCAGGAAGGTCAGCCATAAGCAGAAACAGATGTCACTGAAGGCAGGACAAAGAGGGAAAGAAATATGGGTCCTGGATGATATCACCGAGTTGAGGGAGCAACCAACCCTGATGCCTGTCGTAACAGTTCTTTTACAGAAGTCAATACATCCCTCATTGATTAAGTTAGTTTCTGTTGTGTTTTGTGGAAGATGCAAAGATGCTGCCCAGATTCCCCTTCAAGAAAGGGCTTGCTGGACAGCTCCTGGAGTGTGGTCAGCAGGCAGCCCTCAGCTGTCAGTCTCTTCATGGTCTGTCTCAGCTGCAGAGAGCCATGTTGCATGAGATTACAGCCTTTCTGGGTGGACTGCATGCATTAGAAAGCGCTGGCCACTTCAGTCTGACACAAGATACTCTGATGGGTGATACTCATTCTAGAGGAACTTCCAGGTAGGCTGAAGAGTCTTTAGACCTGAAAAGCAGTTCAAATTCTTTCTCTGGCCAGTCCTGCTTTCTTCCATTCCTAATAAAAATCTTTCTCCCAATCTCCATATCAGTGTCTACTTCCAGAAAACTCTGTCTATGGCAAGTCTTCTGTAACATGAAGCAAAAGCATTCTGATATTCAGTGGGATGGTTTGAACTTGGTCTTGTCTACAGGAAGGGAAATGTACTCATAATCTATCTAATTTTTAACTTTGTATTGTAGAAATTTTCAAGCAAACACCAAAAAATAGAAGGACTATTATGAATCCCCATGTACCCAACTTCAATAATATCAATATATGTTCAATCGTTGTCATCTGAACCCTCACGTATTATTCTAAAATAAGTCTCAGACATTATATTATTTCATCCACAATGTGCTGATGTGTGTTTTGAGATGCAGAGCAATACCTTTTTCTCCATTTTCCTCCGAATCCAACTCCTATCTACTTTCTCATCTCTTTTTCCTCTTCCCACTGCTACTGCCTTAAAAAAAAGGAAGAATTTTAATAAGAGAAAGGGGCAATAGTAGTAGGGGATAGAAGGGTCCAAAAGTAATCCTGGAATCCATTCATTCTTTCATTCATTCAACAAACGTTTTAGACTTATCATCTCTCAGTCTAAGGATACTCAATTTTTACCAGTAGAGATGGTTGTTCAGATAGGTGGTATAATAATGTCTTTGGTCAGACAAACTAACAAGAAATGGAGAAAGGGAGGGAGGGAGACAGGAGGAAGCAGGAGGGGGGAGTGAGGGGAGGGGAGGGAAAGCAAAGCAAAGCAAAGCAAAGCAAAGCAAAGCAGCCATCTAGTGGTCACAGCAGGAAATAATCATATTTGTTTGTTTTTCCTACTAGACAGAAAAAGACAAGGCTTACTCCAGGTAGGACGTTCAAGAGGAAACAGGCTGAGAGGTGAAGTGATATGCTTAAGGTCACATGGCTAGTTAATAGCAGAGCTAGGCATGGAACCCAAACAAGCTGACTCTCAGTTCAGAGAAAGTACCAGGCATCATTAATTAATCCCTTAATTAAACACCAAGGATAGCAGGGAAGCTGGTTCCAATTCCCTTTAACACTTATATGTTACAACATAAAAGGGAACCAGAGAGGGCTTGTAATAGCTAGAACTCTTTGAACGCTTTCACTGTGCCAGCGCTTCCCACGTATTATCCCAAGTAATAAAACACCAACCTTATGTTCCAGGTACTAGTATTAACCTATTTCACGCTTGAGGAAACGGCACAGAAAGGCTAAGAAACTTGCCTAGGAAATACCGTTACAATGAGAGGCAGCATCACTTGAGCAAAACTGAGAAATCCTTGTGATTCTCCGAAGGGCCTGAGGAGTCCGGGAAACCGTGATGAGCTCAACATACAGAAGGAGCAAAGTGAGTGTAGAAGAGGCTGCAGAAGCTAGCAAAGAAGCTTGAAAACCAAAAAATGCACTTCTTCAGGCTGGGCTACACAGCAGGCGAAAAAAAACCCGCGTAAACAAGACCCGGAGAGCGCCGGATCCCGGGGGTACCGAGAAACAGGTCGGAAGTGACGTCAACTAGCGGCGGTGGGCGCTTAGCGGGACCGCGGGGCTCGGAGGCATTCAGGCGGGACGCGACGCCCGGAAGTTACGCCCCGGAGGCGGTACCTGGTTGTGGAGGGCGTCGCGATGGGCGGGGCGGGGCTTCCGTGGCCATCCTGGAACCGTGGATCCCAGGCAGGTAACCTGCGGGCCGAACCTTGACCGGGACAAGGGTGGAAGTTGGGGTTGGGGGCTCCGTTTGCTCGAAGCCTCAAGCTCGGGTAGAGAAACGTAGGTCTCCCATGAGGCGGTGGCTGAAGAAAAGGCTCCTTGACGTGGGACTCCCTGAGGAGACAGGGATACGAGGAACTTTGGGAACGGGGTCGTGAGGGCCGAGGTCGTTGAGGAATATGGACAGGCTGAGTCTTTTAGGAGTCGGTTGACTGAGGGTAACAGGCTTATGAGTATTGGCGCTCAGGGCTGAGGAGTTTGGAACCTGGGCATTGAGATGAGCTGACCTAGAGTTCATTTCCCACCTACCCCGTCCCCCGTCCTTTTCTGCTAGAAGGGGACAGGAACTTAGTCTTCCCATCTCAATCCAGGATAGGGCCTTGCCACTGTTAAGCATTCTTTAGATGCTGTCGAATGAATTAATTAATGAACGCACGAACCCAGTTCTGGCTCAGCAGGGGGAACTTTTGAACTTCAGTATCCCTTTCTCTAAATATAGAAAAGATGCCAGCTTAGTTTGCTGACCTGTGGTTTTGAGGATGCCAGTGCAGTAGA